ACTTTTTCTCGATCACTGATGGTAGTTCCAGGTGGTGCTCTGCCAGAGAGGGTCTCCGTTATACTGGTAAAGAAGAATTACGGCGTCATTTGGTTTTAACTTCGCCACGCATTCTTGTTTCTTTTTATGGAAGGTAAATAGCCTACAGTGCGGTTTCCAGATATGGATTGGTGGACCCAAGACTCTTCACACTATTGTCCTCAGCGACCGGGCGCCAATTCGACTCCCCAAATCCCCAGACGGTGAGGAGTAACTATGAATCTTTTAATGTAACTCATGATAACAACCATTAATAAATGATAAAAAAATTTTCATCAATTTAGAATGCTTTTTGGTCATAATTTTCAAAAAAAAGATGACATATTTTTATTGAGTACCAAAATAATTTTTTGAATGGAGTGCTGAAAGGTGCAAAACTGGCAATGGATAAAACACCATCTTAAGTTCTTAATTAATAATTCTAAAAAGTTTACTTTAAAAGTCTTTATAAAATTAATTCAGTAGACCATTTTATAAAAGATTATTATGTGATGTAGTCATAATACAATATTAATAGCTTTCGGAATATTGAATATCATTTTAAAATATAACAATTTATACATTTGTATTAATAATTGTTACCATATTAAAATTTAATCATTAAAGTTTACTTGGATTATTTTTAAGATTAAATTTATAATAATGATTTTTTTATTTGAATCCATTTATCTATTCTAGAGTTAGCTGCAAAAAGTAAAATAATTTGACGTAAAAAAACCCTCGCGCACATAGTAAACACAAAACATCAATTTATTCACAAAAGTCATTCACGAAATTTCTTTGTAAAGAAGACAGAAAAGAATGCAAGAGATAAACGAGTGAAAATGTAATGTTTTAACCGGAAATTCTATTTATTTAGTTACTATTGTGTATTTTCGATATCTGCAGGCGGTACGTGACAGGCATAGCAATAAAATGAGAGAGTGTCTGAGAAAGGAGGGTAGTCAAACAGTTTGGAAGCAAAATGTTTTTGAAATAATAAGTCTTACTTAAAATCTTTAATATCAAAATCCTCCAATTTCATTAGGTGATTTTCCTTAGTGTTGTATAGGCTCTTTAAAAAATAAAAATAAAACGTATACTATTTTTATGATTTGTTCCCGTTTAAGTTTTGTATTTTTCTTGTCGAGTATTTATAAATGTTAACATTTTGCTCGATGCGATTTTAAAAAAAAAAAAAGACTTTTACTACATAATGATCACTATTAATGCATAATTGATGAATCGACAACTTAGTTATTTTGTTCTATAATGAGATATAAAAAATTATGGGGTGACAAAGAAAATCGATGATACATTTAATACCATATGAAGTGTTTGTTGTTCTTTTGCCGATAGAGTTTTGGAGAAATATTTTATGGAATAAATATATGCTATACAAAAAAAAAAAAGTTCGCGATATAATTTTAACCTATGCATACATACAAAATTATTCATTTTGATGTTATATATAAATATGAGGTGAGTTATAAATTCAAAGACTGAAAATTGTTACTTCTATAAATAATTTTACAGGATTAAATCTTATTATTCCTTTGAACACTATGCTATATATTGAAGAAGCTTAAAAATAAGACTTCTATATAAGTACTCTGAAACAAAATTTTCTTAAAGTAATTTTTTTATTATTAATATCTTTTCATAACTTAATTAAAAAATACTTTTCCGTGTTTATCTAAACAAAACTATACGGAAAAATCTAGCTTGTTACACAATTTTAAGAATTAGAAGATTAATTTAGGCAAAGAAAGTTAAAAAAATTTAACACAAAAAATAAATTGTGTTAACTTGATATTGAAATTGATATTTTTTTATGATTCTTCTGATTCATATTAACCAAAATATTCATTTTTTTTAATATTATATATTATTAAAATTAGGAAGTAATATATTGAGTATTATATAATTTAATCCTATAGTATATTAATACAATAACTTTAAGATTTTTGTTATATTTTACATTTTATATTAATTGAGAGAAATCAATAATTTCAATAATATAGATGAATATGTAAACAACTATTGTTTATACGTTCTCATAATGCTTACATGAAAAAATTTTTCCTTGCCTTAGTTTTCTAAATAATTGATATTTTTAGATAATATTTTTTGTAATCGTTATTAAACTATTATAATTATAAACCGAAACGTTGATACATTATTAATACAGTGTTAAAACTGTGGAAAAACATTTTTTCTTTTAGTTAATATTTCATACTCATTCACAAACAACACTACGTAACCAATAATAATATTATTTTATATATTGTTACATAGTTAACTCTAATTGTTACTCTCTTCAAAAAAATAACATGATTTTTAGGTGTTTTTTTAACTTTATATACATTTTCTATACATTTTAGGGTTACATTTATGTATATATATATATATATGTGTGTGTGTATATTTTTAAAGTTTATAAATATCTATTTAAAAACATTCGCAAAAAAATAATCATATTAAATTTTTGATCAACCATAAAGTTCAACGGCCATTACTGCGAAGTATATAAGATAGTACGACATATGGTAAACGCTGTTTTTTATGTAACTACTGAGTATATATGTGCATAAGTACGTACAATTAATGGTTAAGACTGAGTACTGAAATCAAGGGATGGATAGAGAAGTATGTCCGGCAAGCGTGAGTTCATTGCAAAGTTTTGGGGTTACACGAGACGCGACAGGAAATAAAACATTAATAGTGTCGGCAACTGGCCAATAGTAGAGGAAGTTAGCAGAGACCTCATTCTGCCGTTTGGTGTGGTTAAGATGAAGAAAAGGAAAAAACTAAAATAAACAAATAGCCAACAAAGTGGTCAATTCCGGTTTTTACAACCACTCACGCCTTCGATAATGCACGCAAACTGATATTACTCTTAGTATTATGCTACACTATACAATATAATAAAATAATATATATATATAATGATAACATGATTAACACTTCAGTGCTATTAGCTCAAAAAGGTTTTAACTAAATGAAAAATTAATATCGATAAGTAAATATTAATATTAACAAGATTTATATAAAAAATAACCCAGTGATTAAAATCACTATCAAACAAAACGCTTCGATGCAAATCTTTAGATAGTGTTTAATTTAAAAAAAATGGTAGATTATTCCAAAAACTACATGATCTGCTATTTCCTTATTAATATCCTGATTAAGATAAAGTATGCCGAATAAAAAAGGGATTATTAAAAAATATTATTTCTCATGAAAAAATTATAGTGATCCATACATTTTTTAAAAAGTTATAGCGTTTTAAAATAAAAAATGTAAAAGATAAAATGATATGTAAGTTATCCTAACGAATTTGAAACTTTTTAATATGTCAACTTCAAAAATTTGATTTCTACTGATAAAATTGTACAATAATACAATCAATGCCTTTGTAAAATCTTAAATTTAAAATTGGTTTAAAAGTTGACTTTACATATGATTACCCAAATTCATGCATTTCTATGGCTTCTTGAAAAACTAAGCATTTCTATATTTTTTTTTATTTCGGCATTACTAGGGCTTCTTAAAAGTCATACATTTCTTTGGCTTCTTATACAATTAAGCATTTCTATGGTTCCTTTAAATCTGCATTTCAATGGCTTCTTTTGTTGCTGCATTACTATAGCTTCTTAAAAATTAAAAAATTGTATTGTTTTTTAATTTTTGCATCACTATGGCTTCTTAAATGGCAGCATTTCTATGACTTCTTATAAAAACAAACATTTCTATGATTTCTTTAATTTTTGCATTATTGTGGCTTCTGAAATATTTGTATTTCAATGGCTTCTTTTATTTCCGCATTACTATAGCTTCTTAAAAATTAAAAATTTGTATTGTTTTTTAATTTTTGCATCACTATGGCTTCTTAAATGGTATGCATTTCTATGACTTCTTATAAAATCAAGCATTTCTATAGTTTCTGCAATTTTTGCAGTTCTATGGCTTCTTATAGATTATGCTTTTCTACTACTTAATGTTTTATTTTTTATAATTTTAATTTTTTTTCTAATATTGTACACTTTAGTTAAATGTTGCAAATTTGTAGGACTTAATTGAAACTCAATGATACACTACAAAATAATTTACGTAGACACTATTTATTTTAAGGTTACAAAATTAAAAATTACAGAGTAAACTACTGATAAAAAATTTTTAATATTATTTAAAAGTATTCAACATTTATACATTAATTTATGATTGAAAATAAACATTGTATAATTGTTTCTTAAAAGTTATTATTAATCATTCATGAATTTAAAACAAATACTCTAAAATTTTACAGTTTTACCAATATTATCTATATTTTTATTAATATATATTTATATTCATTATCATGTATAATTTAAGTATCTAGTTTCATCGTAAACTGTTTATCTTGACGATAAAATATAAACCTATGCATTTAGTATCATTCCCATGAGAGAACGAATGGTTGTCAATGATTAGTTTGGCAACGAGTATAGTACAGTTGAAGAATGACCCAAAGACAATAGAATTTGGAAACAAATGTTTAGCATAATGAATTGTATATGAAAAGGCCTCCCAGTCGTTTATCATTCAACTGGGAAAGAATTAAACCTTGCATAAGCTAGTAGCGCTTTGTCTATAGTACACGACGATAAGGGAAGATTTGTACTCCCCTCAAAGACGACTACGATTTGAAGTTTGGCAGATTGATGGTAATAGTTGTTGTTGTCGTATTTCACATTACTCTGTTATATGTCAACGCACATACATTTTATTCGTGCAACATAGAAAATCTTTTGTCAGCCAAATGACCCTATCCAATGAAACCAAAACATACATATGCAACATTACTAATAATTAATACCATAAAATATTTTTTTTATATACTATTTATATATAAATTTTTACGTACTAATTATTTTACAATAAATACACACGCATTTTATTTATGTATTCATTAACATTTTTTTTTACTTTATACATTATAGATCAATCAAAAATACCAGTTATGGATGAAACGATTAAATAATCTACCAACATGGCCGGGAGAATTATTGGTTAAAAAATCCGACGTGTCGAAAATTTTACAAAATTAGTTATTATTGAAAATGGAACGATTTAAATTTTGCTGCACAATAAGTGTCCGTCATTTAATATTCGTCTTCATAGTTGTTGCATTCTGTAGCTCAAAGGGTAAGTCGACCTGAAGTGATACAATAGTATTAAGCATTTAGAATAATCCCTCTTGTTGAAGTTTTAGGCTTTTAATTCTGAACTATCATTTCCCTTCCCTAACTACAATTTGTTAACGGGTAATCATATTTAAAGATCCTGGTAATTGTTTAACTAACATACATTGTTATATGAAATGTTTAAGTAATAAATGGAAGGAATAATTTTTAACATTAATTATTAATATTTATTTAAATTAATTTTGGGCAACAAAATTTTCAATTATTAAAACTTATATCTTAATCATTAAATTATAAAAAAACAAACATTTATAAGCTGTATTGCATATTTTATTTGTAGATATTAAATAAAGAATATTGAATATTAGATTATGTTTTCAATTAAGGTAACTTATTCTGGTAAAATTTTTTAATTTATCTTCAATTTATTTTGTTATATTATTTATAAAATTGGTTAATGAAATTAAAATACAAATGACCTCTATGAGCTTTAATGATTTAAATCAATCTGTCAAAATATTGATGGTAAAAAAACAAATCTTTAATGGTTAGCCAAGGACTTAGGATAAATGATTATCTAAAGTCGACCTGTTAATATTTTACCCGAACTAAATTACCCTTCTCTCTTTTATTGTTTTATATGTAAACAGTAAGGGTTCATAACGGGATTTTTTTATACAATGTTGTACGGATTAGAAACAACAGAAAACGTGTCCCAGTGGGGGTCTTTGACGATTAACAGCGTAGAGGTTTTTTTATTAAAAATAATTTCACTGGTAATTACTCGGAAAGGTTAATATAATCTATGGGATAATAACGCAGTTACGTGAAAGTAAAATATATGTTTCAAAATTTTAAAGATTGTCAGTAATTCATTAAATGTCTCAGCATGTTTGTGATAATTTATATTGCCTAAAGTGTTATGTTAACCATTAAAATATTTATCATTATAATACAAAAAATATAACGTTTTTATTTTCTATAAATAATTAGTCAACTATACAGAGTGGAACAGATTTAACTGACAACTTATATAACTTATGATCTACATAAAATTTTATACTTTTTTCTTTTAATCGATTTTTTCAATATAGAAATATATTTAAAATATATTTTGTTATTTTTCGCAACTATAAAAATTAATTTTTATTAACATTTTTTTTAAAATTTGAAGAAATTGCATACTGTTACCAGTAAATAACATAATAAGAGAGTGTTTACTTCTGTACTTTACATAATATGGACTAACATTTGATACCATAGGAAAATTATAAAAAAAATCAAGACTTAACAAATTTCAAAATGCTGTATATACGTAACTACTGAATTAAAATAATTTTTTGGCATCAACATTTTTCTTTAAAACTTATCTATAAAATGGCTATCTTCAAATCTTAAAAAAAATATTAATAAAAAAATTAATTTTTAAAATATTTTTTGCAATTGCAAAAAATAACATAAAATGTATTTTAAAAATTGATTTAAAAAAATTAATACCTTCTCGGCTTCGCACCGAAGCTAAAAAAAAGTATAAAATTTTATGTATATCATAAGCTATATAAGTTGTCAGTTAAATCTGTTCCTCCTGTATACAGTTATATATAATTAACAGAATATAGTTTTATATATTGAAAAAAATGTCTATAAAATATATTTCAAATATTAAAAAAAAAATAATTATTTAAAAACAATATTTTTGTTATTGGTATCATATTAATTGTAATACCAAGACTTATTTAAAAGTACAAAAACACTTAAAATTTTTCTTGATTATGATGTGGTTTAGTTGTTGATGGCAAATTGACCAATTGAGATTGTGATCAATAGTAGTATAGTATTAAATGAGAATATTTCAGCTGCACTATTTCTATGATCTTTTGCACCAGGTCCTATTTTAGCGGCGTAACTTATGGCGAAAGGTATATAGTTTTGTTCATAGTTACCTACGAATAGATGAGCCCAAGGCCCCTTTGCAAATACTGCCACGTCGTCACCACCATGGGTCTCCTTAGTAAGAGGAACCATAGCTTGGAATTGATACCATTTATCATCTAATTTAAAAAAATTGTAAATTTATCATAAAAAGTATATGGTAATTAAATTATTCTAAAACTACAAAGTATTAACATTTTTAGTATATTTACTTTATTAGGATACCAAAAAGTTATTAAATACAAAACAATAATGACACTTAATTTATAGTAGCGTTTAATTTTAAAATATCTATAAAAAATTTTTAGAGTATCGTTAAAAATCGAAATTATACTACTATTGAATAAATGATAGTTTTAGATATCTTCACTATATTATCTCTTATACATTTATACACGTATATTTTGAAAGTACATATACAGTATGCAGCTGCAAGCACTGAAAGATTTGTCATCTTTTTATATAAACTTTTAGTAGTATAAAAAGTATTATTAAGCATGGACTCAACTTGTATAACTCAGTTATAGAGTGTGAGAGAATATATTAAGACTACGAACAATGTTATTTTAGTTACGCCTATGTATAAATCGAAGTATTATAGTTGTTTTCTTAATTACTAAAAATTTTAAGCATGTAAAATAAACATCTGTTAATCAAAAGCATAGAAACGTGTAAATTTAAAACATAAACTTAAATTTAATAACTTAACCATGTAAAATAAAACAATAGAATATGCCATAAATAACTCGCTTTTTGTATGAATTCTGAATCTCAAATTATACTATGTATTCAAAGTCATTTTTGTTTATTAGTTACTAGTTTATAGACAACCCAATTGTTGGTAAAAAAATATTTTAGAATAATTAATTGCATTTCTTTCAGTTTTAGTTACTTATAAAAGAAAAACTTAATATAAAAATTATTATTCGCCATTAAGAATTAGCCGCCCCTATAAGATTGCTGCCTTAAGCATTAGTTTATTGTATTTACTAGGAAATCCAGTACTATAATATGTTGATGGGTATTTTTTTCAATTACTACGTTATTTGTCTTATGTCTTATATTTATAACACATATTTTAAATTATTTAACTTTAACCATACTTACGTGTATCATCATCCGTAAGATTGTATCTTTTACCGTCCCGTGATGGCTTAACTCCTAGTCCATTAGCGTAACTGAGAGTGGATAACGGCATTTGATCTATATCTGAATTTTTTGCATGACCAAATATATCAGCACCCCTATGAGGATACCCATTGAGGGTCATGGTATGAGCATGATCAGATGTCACAACTATCAGAGTTTCTGACGAATTCGTTAATTGTAAAGCTTTTTCTACAGCATTAGACAGCATAACTGTTTCGTCCAATGCGATATGCGCCCAATTATCATGATGAGCCCAATCTATATTACCACTTTCGATGAATAAAACATAACCATTTTTGTCATTAGATAAAATATTAATAGCTTTTTCCGTCATTTCTACTAAGGAAGGTTCAATTTTCTTATTTGATGTCAGATTGAATTCCATATGACTGTAAGCGAACAAACCTGTAAACATTTTTCTTAACATGTAGTTTACATACTGTAAATGGTATAAATTATTTGTTATGTGGTAACATTATAAAATAAACTGTTTTTGTTGTTATTATTGGGTTATCTTAAGCAAATAACATAATCTAGACAAGAAAACGTTATAATTATAACGTTTAAAACGAAAATTTTTGTCAAAACGTAATCAAATAACGAAAAACAAAACTAAAATTGCGTAATATCAATAAACATAATACAACTTATAACGTAAAACAATTCTTATTAAAACAACAAAACATTTTTTTTTTATGTTATATTTAAAAAACACTGTCAGAAAAAAGCAGTAATTTATAATTATTAAAAAATACTCATTATATTGAATTATGTGTCAAATATAATAACATTAAATGTAACAATATAGTAACGTTAAAACTTTAAACGAAAAAAATTAAATAAATTTTTAATATTAAAATCATTAAATATAAAAATTGTATAACGTTTAGAATAAAGTTAATCTAATTATTTTATTTATAAAATACCGTTGTAATATATTTAAACAATATACCAAAAAAAATTGTTTAATCCAACCTCTGAACAAAGCAGATATTACCTTAATAAATAGCATAGTAAAATATAATATTACATCAAGGTTTTAGCACGAAAAAATTAGATAAATATAAAAATGATCAACTTTATCCTATGTATAAAATCTTAAATCTATTCCAGTATTCACATGATTTTTTTGTTGAATATTAAATAGATATTGAAAGTTCTATTTAGGCAATTTTTTCTGTGGTAGTTTATCTAACTACCCATCTCTAATATAAAATTTATTAACTAATATAAATAAAACAAAAAATTATACTCTGTTATTTATGTTAACAATAGTTATATCAAATTCAAATTTTCCAGTAATAAATATTACCATAACAAGAACAAATTATCGAAAAATTGGTAGAATAAATTCACTTTATTCAAACTATATAAAAAGAGCCCTGCACTTAAATGACACTAAAAAAAAAATTAGTGTGTAATTACAGTTGATAACAAATAAAAATATTCTGTTGATTTAAGCAGGATAAGTATTTATTAAATCTTTCAAACTTTATTATTAATTCAAAGCTTTTTTTCCCTTACCAAATAAATAATCAGTTTTGTTATCAACAGCCATTAGTTCAGATCTATTCATAACAAATTTCGCTTTTTTGTCTTTTTTCATTTCAGTCCATTTTTTTATCAAATTTTTTCCATCAATCCTCTCACCTAGTCTTCCAAAAACATCTTTTTCATAATTAGGTATAAATTTCCCCAAACCTCCTCCGAGTATAACCTATAGTAACACCATCATGGTATAATGAATATAATTTTAAATTTAATAAAATTTTATTATAAATATGAAATATGTTTTTTACATTGAGGTTTTGTCCAGTTTCGCTTTCAATTAATTGTCTAGCAATGTCACTTGTTTCTAAGCACTCTCTATGTGCTAGGCCATTAAATATATCATAATTTATGTCATGATCACTTTCCCATCCACGATTTGCTATACTAGCATAAGCACCTGCAGGCGTGGCGTGTGTTATTCTCATGTTCGTTATCAAACCAGTCCTCTTATTTGCTTTTTGGGCCCACCGTAAAAGAGATTCGGTACGGTTATTTGAATCAATAGACCCCTTACAGTCTCTGTTTTTAACTTTCCCCGATACGCCAATAGTTTCAATGTTGCTTTTTACACCTGTCAGATATGCTGTTGCTGTACATGCAGAATCTCCGACTTGACTATCCACACAGTACGTCTATAATTATAAATAATACTCTGATATGATATGATAATAATTTAATACTAAAAATATTTCTTATCGATAACCAAAATGAGTTTAAATAATTTTTAGTTTTTTGATAAAAAAAAAGAGTAATTTTCGGATTTATTAGTTGACCTAATCACAATTTAAATGTTTTACAACACTCGAAATAGTAATCATTGTAAACGTTTCAAGCATTTTGGCATTGGGAAGTTCAAAATGCCCGAGAGTGGTTGTCGGTCGACATTCCTCTGAATTCAAGAGTGGCATTTGTTTAATCTTACTTTGGACAGTCCCGTAAACGGGAATTTCTCAAACGTCAACGTTTCTTCTTCGCCCGTTTTGCCTTTCATTTGTCCTTTGTATATTCGGGCGGCGGTTAGTGTGGGAATTGACATTCCATCGCCAAGAAAGAAAATCACGTTCTTAGCAATGCCGTACTGCCTTTGTATTTTTATTTTCTCCTCTAAGATATTTTTTCCCATTTCCAACCAAAATTTTGCATCTATGATGATTTTATCTATTATTATTTAGAAACAATGATATGGAGAAAATTATGAATAATAACAACATACACCCAATTAATGATTTTATATAAATAAAAAATGTTGAGTGATATTCCTTCGAAATTCATTAAAAAAATACTTTTATCAAATTAACATACCGTCTTCGTATTTTGATACACTTTTATTTTTCGCTTCGGCTCTAGACATGATGTTTTTTATGTTTCTGTCAACGTGTTCTGTAAAATCCAATGCAATTATTATGCACCTCGCGAAAAACAAGAACATTTTATTTTTTAATTTATTAAAAATTTCAATTAATAACTTTTTATTAGTTCATACGTGCTTGCGTTCAAAGGTAATTTAGTTATCTACCATGGACACCTTCACTAGCTTATAGTTTTGCAAAATTAAATTGCAACAAAATTTAAACGCAATAGTTGTCATATTATTTATAATAGTAGTATACATTAAATTACGTACCATATCCCATACAAAATGAGTTTGTCGCAAAAAGCACACATAGCGTAGCCAATGTCAAAACAAATAAAAAATCATTGAGTTGCATAATTACAAAATAATACCAGACAAAATTTTCCTATTAATAATATAAAAATGAACTAAAATCCTTGTCATATATTTTTCGACTTCTAACTCAGACTGAAACTCAATGGTATTTACAGTATATATTTGATCTAGTTTATTTACTGCAATTTAATTAATTGTTTTTCAAGTGAAGTTTGATAGTTATTCAGTGACAAACCACGATTAAACATGTATGACGAACCTATTAAAAGTGTTTGAAAAAGCTTATCTATCAGGGAACGTTGGTATAAGTCAAGTGGATTTTTAATCTTTTAAAAATTATAAATCAATAAATCAATTTAAAAACAATAAAAACTCAAAATAGAATAATTAGAATAAATCAAAAAACAGATCAGTAAACTTATTGAAAATGTCTGTAAAATAACACATTGTTTGAATTTGGAATTAATAAAAGCAATTAAATTATTTTGTAAGGATTTTACGAAATTTTAGATTTTTGATATTAATTAATAATAGTAAAAAAAAATTAACCTACACTCAACAATTTTTTGTCTTCGAATGTTTTTCAAATTGTTATCAATTTAATTTTAGCAACACATTTATTAACTCATACATAATATACTGGTCAATTATTACCAATATAAAGTTCAAACTTGTTTTTAAAGTTTTAAAAATTAAAATATCAGTTTAATGATAAAATTGTTTCTTGAAATTATGTTAAGAATTGTAAACAAAATTCTTAGCAAAGCAACGAAAATGGAAAGTGCTTTGATTTTAAAACACCCCAAAAATGTTAAGAGAATTTTAGAATTTAAAAATTATATAATTTATAGTTATATAAAATTATTTTTAAATTTGAGAAAATTAAATTTAGCAATCTTAAGACTTTTTTACTAGTTACACCTATGCATAGCAATTAGAAATAAAATATTTCAAAGTCTTCTGATTATAATATTTAATAATTATGTCAGTTTTTATTAATATAAATATAAAAATATAAACATTCGATACAAACAAAATTGTATCGTTTATTAGTTTCAATGTAATACAAAAGATATTAATTTTACTATCATGTATTTTTTAGGTGATCTTAATATTAATGTAGTTTAAAATTATGAATGCATGATTTTTATACTTTTTATTTTTCTTTTATGATTAAATAATTAACAGTAATAATAATAGATATTAATATAGGCGTAGTTTGAAAATTTTCTATGTAGGGCTATTTCAGTTTATTGAACAAAAAACCTAGTGGAAAGCTTCTTTATCATTTCACTTTATCTCCTCGTCTCCTCTGAAAATTTAATTTATTTGTGGGGGCTACGAATATTTTTATAGGGGCTTAATCCCACACAGCCCTCAAGAAAATTATATTATTGAATAGTAATTAGTATGAATTAATCTTGATACATTTAATAATGATATTTTAACTTGAATATTTATTGAAACTTAAGCTTTTATTAACTAAAATAAAGAAATTAAAATAATTCTTATGGATTAAAAACATTTCAACAGATCTTTTACTATTTGTAATTTTCTTACTTTTAAGTTTACATGATAGCCCAATGCACAAATTATGATAGTACTACCGTTTAATATTTATTGACATTTTTGTAAACCAACATTTTTATTTTAAGATGTTACAAACACATCAATATCTCCTGTTAATACACTTTTACAAATGGTTAAGCTAGATTTTCCATTTGAATGGGTTGCAAAAGTAAATTATGTCAATATATCTCATAATACCGTGTAAATCTCTTAAGCGACTTAAAACGAAGATCATTATAGAATAAAGAAAATATTTCATTTGTAGTATTTTTGTAATAACTCTAATAGTCGGTCAGATTCAATAAAATTGAACTCGAATAAGTAAGTTGTTTGCAATGACGAAAGTGAAATAAATCAAATTTAAGAACATAAATTTATACTATAAATATTTTTTATGTACAATTTATTTTTTTTAATCTATACAGCTATAACAATAAAAAATATTTTAAGTATTTATTTGTTCTGAATAATTGAATTATGCTATTTTGAAACTAAATTTATAATATAAAATATAAAAATAATTAAATGTTTAATGAAAAGAAGTTATCCGAATTTTCATATAGTTCTTTAAACTGTTTATTGTTTACAAAAAATCGCGTGACAATAAGCATTTGTTATTTATCTGTATCGGGTTTCTGAATATTCGTACTTGACTCGAATAGATAATAGAATAATAAGTGCAATAAAAATGACTGACTTAAGTAAAATTTATCACGCTATATACTTTCTCTAGTATCATACAGTTTTGCTAATAATTTAAATAGAAAGTATACTTATTGTAAATATTTTGCTTATATTAAAAAAAAAATTTCCTTAAGATAAACGATTTGTTTAATCAATGTTCTAATAATAATTGTACAATATCTGAAGCTCAACAAATAATTGATATATAAATATCTATTTTTATGATTACATTATGAATAATTTTTATTGAGTTTTGACTAAAATTTGTAATTCTAAAGTCAAATTGTGTGTTTGCTCTATAAAAATTTAATTAAACTAGGTTTTTTTTTTAAATCTACAATTTTTTACCTTTTGAATAATTAATGAACGTCTGGAAATGTACACTTCAGAAAAACCCTTAAAAATAACTAAAATTAAGGACATCATAATGTGTGTGTAATTTTGACTATAAAATTATGAATAAAGTTGGTAATTACTTTATATCTCTAAAATAATAAGGCTTGAACTTCAAAAATATTTCATGTTTATTAATGACAGAAAAAAACACTTTTATTAAATGTAAGTAAATAAGAAAATATAGTACATTGTTTTTGTTTACAATGAAATTAAGTGCTGAGTTGTGTAATTGTTAGTAATCTTAAATTTAATTTAAAAAAATGTATATGTCTTCTTTCTAAGCCGCATTATATTCAAGTGAGATGATAAGAGAGCTAATAAAAGAGATAAAGTATGGGTCATTGAAATTTTGAAAACTATTAACAATATAAAATTCAATCGAGACTTGATTGATAGTTTGGTGTTAACAGATATTGATATTATTTGTCATAAATTTTATCAAATCAATACTAGTTTAAGTGAGGTAAACGTATGCATTACTTTGTGATTTGACTATACTTGAGATAGTAAACCAGTATCATTTATTTGTTTTTTTTATCATTGAATATATTCAAATTAATTGTATAATCAACAAACAATATTTAGTTAAATTCAAACTCATATCCTATGCAAATTTTAATGTTCGCTAAAGTAGTGAAACTTAATTATATTTTAACTTATAACTGTATTTTCTATTAAATTCAAAAGCATAAAAATTTTATAATTAAGGGAAATTTCATTTTCAGAAACAAGACCCGCTTCAAGAAACATTTCAATTTTTATTAATAAAACTTGTATTAATTATTTAAGTACTATTTATCAATAAATTAAAAATTAAGTTAACTCCAATAGATGTATTAGATTTTTTACATTATTAAAATGTAAAATATGTTATGTAAGTGAAAAATAATTATTAGAATAAAAAAAATATTCACATTTATATTTTAGATTTTATACTAGAAGCTCAAATTAATTTAACTACTCTTTTTTTAATAGCTGTTACAGAAGAAGAAATAATTATGAAATATGTTAAATCCAAATATGATATTTTAACATTATTTACAAACTACATGACATATAGTTTGTTTATTACTCTAGACATTGTCTAGAGTAATAAGTTAAATTATTTACCTTTTCAATTATTTAAAAAAAAATGTATATCAAAACTTCTAATAAATTTATCCAATTTTAAGTAATTAGTAAGTTAATTAGTATAAATTTTGAAAATGATATTGATGGAATGCTTAATTTTCTATAATAAATTCTACTTTGTTAAAAAGCTAAAGTAACGTATCATTCCCCCTGTAAATTTTACATGCAATTTACGTACATAGTATTTTCGTAAGTGTATAAAAGCAAATTTTTTTAGACATTGGAAATAATAAATAGAATCATTTTATAAATGATGTATTTTATTTATATTTCATATAAATATAATTAATCTTAAAATAATTTCAGTTTTTTAGATAGGCGATAGTAAATAGTACATGTGTTTATTGTTTGTTTGATATTCAAGATATTTTTCCATATTAACATTATTTTAATACTCCATTTAATGAAAATAATTTTGTTTTATTTATATATAATCAAAGTGAAGAGATAATACTAATGTTGGATGTTTCAAATCATTTATGATTATTTAAACAACATGATAGTATTACATATTTCTTCAGTTAAAAACTCATAAGTGATTTTCGGGCTACTGTTAATAATGTAAATAAAACTATCTTATACTTAAATCCAGGAACTTTTAATACAAATGCTGATGAAGATGTACTGATTTTATAGGGAGACTCTGTTGAAATTCCTGCGGCCTTGGCCATGGCCAATGGAATTATGTTTTGTTCATAGTTTCCAGTAAACAGATGTGCCCACGGTCCTTTTGCAAATACCATAACGTCATCTCCACCATGTGTTTCTAAATCCAAAGGTATAAAACTTGGGTAGTGTACTTCGTTAACTGCATAAAAAAAATATTTTTTTTATTAGTATATTAAATTTACTAGTCCTCCTCTACTTGAATTTCTAATAAATTTATTTATGGTATGAAAAGAATAAAATTTGGCGTTTAAAATATTAATTAATAGAAATGAGTTTAAAAAATAATGTAACAAATTACCCATTTGCGAAATGTTAAATTTTTGAAAGAAGTTTCTGCTTGGGCTAGTACTTGGACCATTAGCATAGCTTAAAGTTGTGTATGGTAAATCGTCTTGTGCCAGCCAACTAGTCGCTCCTAAAATGTTTGTACCACGTGCAGGATAACCAGCCATAGTTAATGTATGGGCATGATCTGCAGTCACGACGATTAAAGTTTCAGTTTCGTTGGTCAACGCAACGGCTTCAGAGACAGCTTTTGACAATTCAACAGTTTCATCCAACGCAAATTTCGCATACGTATTGTGATGAGCAATATCAATAAGACCACTTTCAACGAACAACACAAATCCATTTTTCTCTTTTTGCAACAACTTTATGGCTTTAATAGTCATTTCAGTAAGCGTTGGTTGCATTTCAATATTTGATTTCAACCTGTAGTCCAAATGAGTATTATGGAAAAGGCCTAGACAATTATTCATAAATATTAATGATTTCATTCAAGTATAATTCTAATGACACCCACCCAACAAATAGTCAACTTTAGAAACATCAGTGCTCATTAGTTCTTTCCTATTAGTCATGTATCTTGTTGTCTTTCCTTTGAATCTTTTCATTTTATCCAATTTCCATCTTACGACTAAATCTTCATCCAGTCTTTCTCCAGTAGAGTTAGTCTTTTTCATTATTAACTTACTTCTACCACCACCCATAATAACCTATCCAATATGTTTCTTGTAAAAAATTATTTTTTAAACAGAATAAATATATAAGTGTTTTATATAATTACATTAAAGTTTCTTCCGGGATCTCTTTTAATCAGCTGACTGGCAATGTCCTCGCATTGAGTAGTATCGGTCTTTTCGGTAAAACTTTGCATATTAAAATCAGACTCCCAATTACGATTGGGTGAATGTGCATATGAACCAGCCGGAGATGCGTGCGTTACCCTAGTTGTTGTTACTATTCCAGTGGCTTTACCAGCCCATTGAGCCCATTGTAAGATTGAGTTAGGTTTTTCTTCGTTTATAGACGCAGGACAATCATTTCTTGAAACTTTAGAAGACACACCAATTGTACCAAAATTACCTTTAACGCCACATAAATATGCTGTAGCAGAACAAGCTGAGTCGGCCACTTGTTTGTCAACACAATATGTCTAAATGACAAATTAAAATTAAATGCTTAAAATAGCTGTGTATCAATAAAGAAAATCGATAATTTTTATTAATTTTAAACCTTAGACATTCCTGTAAATGGAAAACGTTCAAAACTGAGATGGTCATTTTCACCGGGTTCATTTTGTAATTGACCTTTGTAAATTCTGGCTGCAGTCAATGTAGTTAAAGACATGCCATCGCCGATAAATAAAATTAGATTTTTGGCCTTTTGCGTCTGGAGCTTAATATTCGCTTTATTTTCCAAAAATGTCTTGCCATTGTTTTGCCAATAATTTACATCTATAAATGATCAGACAACTAAGAATTATGAATATTAAAAAATATTATAATATTACACAAAATTGATTAAATAAAAAAATCTTTTAGGAAATAAAATTAAAGATATGAATAAATTTTATTATTAATAAAAACAAAAGATTAATTTCATTTTCTGCAAAATTTTTTTACTATTATTTAGACATTATGTAATACATTCGATCAAATTGTATTTCTTAATATAGTTTTAGTTTATTTTATTTAGTTAAAACATGTATTAACACCGAATTATTTTACTCAGATTAGATAAGCATTAGCCTATGTAACATATTTTTAGTTACTACTGTTACTTTATAATACATGAAAAACAATACAAAGTGTTCAGTATGTAAGGAAACAGGTTAATTGTTACAAACTATGAGAACAATAGAAACTCGTTTCCTTATTTACTGAACACCCTATATGTTATAGGTAATGTTACACTGAACAATAAACAGTATATATTAATATTACTGGGCGGTCCAATATATACTGATTAACAAAATAGTATTGATCCACTGAATAATTCACGTTAGTATTTTATTCGACAGTTAAGCTAGTGTGTTATAGTTATAAAATTTTTAATGTTACGGAAATTAAAAAATGAAATAAATTTAAATTTATTCTTTTAATTTAATAACTTAGGTAATAATAATAATTTTCAAATATGGAAGTATAAAATATCCAAACAAAGATAAAAACATAAAATATATTAACTAAATTAAGTGAAAAATTTATTCAATGGTCGCTGCTTTTAAAAAATTATCTATACCCAAAATTGTACATAAATTTTAAACTTAATTTATTAACTTTTTTTTTTAAATTGTTGACCAATTTTTCGTTTCACAATATTAAGCTCGTCTACTCTAACTTCTTGCCTATAAAAATATATATTTCATTATTTTATTATGAAAATGAAAAAAAAACGATGTACAAATGAATGTATTTCTCCTAAAACCGAACGATAATTAATATAATAGGATTAAGATAAACATGGTTAGTAATAATTATTTAATTATTTATTTTTGAATTTTAATACACTGCCGATATTCTGTACTTTTATGCTGATGTTTCGGAATTTTTTTCCGTTTGGATATTTTGGACACTAGATTTTTTTTTTAGCAACTATTTAACTACAATATACAATTGTTAAGTAATAGCTTAATAAATATATAAAATTTAAATTATTAATTGCATTCTAATAACATATGTACATATATGTATTAATGTATATAAACGAACAAAATAATTTCTTTTAAATAAATCTGATGCGAATTATGCATCAAATAATTCACACTAAAAAAAATTATCTAACATATTTTTTAAGGGTATTATAAAAATTTTTAAATCAATTAGAAAGATTTACCACTTTCAATATCTAGTAAGTGCTTCATTATACAATATTAATAACTAAACAAATTTTCATCATTAAATATAAAGAAAATTTTTTTTTACAATTTTCAGTAACAATTTTTTTTTTTAATATTTTTAATATCGAAATAATAATTTTTTGAATAAAATTTACTGTAATTACATTTACTATAATAAGTTTATAAATTTAAAGATCTGTTTAAATTTTTATTTTATTTTTTAGGAATACGAATAATTTTTAAAAAGCTCTTATTTTTTACCTTTATCCAGAATTTTGACTTTTTAAATTAATATATTTGTATTAACATAAAAAATAAATAATTAATAAAGGCAAATCGAAAACATCTAAAATAAATTACCTGATTCTGAGTTTTTGTTAATTATAGCACAAGAGATGACCATCAATTTAAATAAAAAACATAACGAATGTGACCACATGATGACAAAAGTGCATCAAAAATAAAATTTTTAGATTTATATTAGAATATATTACTAATTTTTTTTAAGAGTGGCGGCATTTTTGTATAAACGTGACATTGTACACATTGACCGGCGTGACTACAATAAATATTTAATTTAGATATGTGTTTTTTTATATCTTATCCAACATATTCGCTAACATTTACTACTTTTATGTCTTTCCAATCTATGAAACAAATAACACTACCTATTAATAAATCTCATTTTTTTATTTTACATTGATACTTCAATAGATGTGTTAAGAAAAATGTTGTGCAAATAAGAGCAATAAATTGATATTTTAAAACATATATATATACATTATTAACATTGTTATCACTATTATGTTTATAAAACTACTTCTAATATTAAGAAAAGAGAAATTTTTTTTATTCTGAACTATGAAACTTGAAGTTTGTATAGTTAAAAAGATTTGAAGAAAATTAAAAATGGAATTTATTTTTAAAAATAGATATTTAATTTACAATATGATTCATTTAAATATCTATAAATTTTAATTTGAAATTTTTTTTTTTTTTAATGAAATATTGTTAAACATCGTGAAAAACTATTGATAATATTAAATAAAGTATATAGTTTTAATTATCTGCTAAAAATTTGAAGTAATAATTATTTAATTTTTCCTCAGTATTGAGTTTAATATTTTCTAGAAATTTTGATTCAATGGTATTTGAATCACAAAACCGGTTTAGTATAACCGAAAAAGTTGCATTAATTAATTATATTTAAAAATATAAACAGGGTTTATTTCAAATTTTAACTACTTAACACGACTTCAATTTAGAATTTAATTAAAAAAATTATATTGTAAGTACTCTTTAAGTAGATAACATATTTTTCGTGTTTTTCATGTTAATAAAACTACTTCAAAATGTGATAAAATTAACATCAATCAAAATAAAATATAATACTTTGACATATTTATTTGATAATCAATGACTCTCACACAATTTTGGCACATTAATTACTTACATTTATATTAAATAATTAATTAGGCATCATCTTAAGCCTCATAGTTTTAGCCATTTTTAATGGTAAAACATTTTATTCATAGTTCCAAAATTTTAGATGACGTGAAATTAGCAAATTACGCCAAACAAAAAATGATTTCATAAGTAGTAAAACAGTATCAATAAATAAACCCAGCACAGTTGGGAGGTGTCATAGTTGGTCAAGTATAATAATATCTGACATTGATTAAAATGACTATAATAAAAAACGCTTCGATGCAAATATTTCGATAGTGTTTAATTTTAAAAAATTGGTGGATTATTCCAATAGCTACATGATCTCCTATTTCCTTATTTATATCCTGATTACAAGTTTTATGATTTATAAGTGTAATATATATATATTTATAATATATAAATATATAAAGGTAAATGGTATTATTTTTAAAAAGAGCATGACGAATGAAAGAGGGATATTAATATTATTTCTCAAAAAAAATTGTATTGATCCATACATTTTTCAATAAGTTATAGCATTATAAAGTTAAAGTGAACAAATTAATTTTTTGTGAAAAAGTTGTCATTTTAATCCCCCCATGTAGGTAAGTAAAGGGTCAAATTTATAAAAAATTATACCAAACAAAAGATAAAGACATCATGCATCTATAAATAAAAAAATATATTTATTTTATATATGTAAGTTTATATAAGTTATGACAGTAGTAAGTAAAAAAAATTGAAAAAATGTCGAAAATTAGCGATTTTTAAATTTGTAATTTTTTTAAAATTTCCCCCATTTACGGTGAACGAAAGAAATTTTTTCAATTTTTGAGGGTAATGTCTTCGACTAGATACGATTTGTGATCTTTTGACGTATCGTTGAAAGAAATCGGTTTGGTGAGAGCTGAGAAAAAGTGGTAACAGACACAAAAAAAAAAACACATCATAGTAAAATCAATACCTTCTCAGCTTTGCATCGAAGCAAAAAGATGTCACACAATTTTTAATAAATTTTACAGTCAGCAAACATTATTTGTACATGATCCGAAGTTATCACAATTAACGTGTCTTTTTTATTAGTCATTTTAACTTCCGCAGCAAGAGCGATAGACAGTTATACTGTTTCGTCAAGTGCCGTCTTTGCAAGATTTTATGATGTGGATGATCTATGAGATCACTTTCAACAAATAAAACATAACCATTTTTTTTTTTTGAGCACTTTAATAGCCTTTATAGTCACTTCCATCAATGATGGTTATTTTCTTTAATCAGCCTCTAAATTTAAATCCATATAATCATCATGGTAAAGATCTATTCATTTATATCATATAAAACATAATAAAAAAAGCAATTAACTATTAATTATTCATAATAAATGAAATCAAATAATTTTATCAAATTAATAATCTACATCTTCAGAACTTGTAGTAAAAATTCCATTCTTATAAATAATGTACTTAGAAATTTTATCAAGAAAACGTTTTTTATTTTGTCTGCCTTCCATACATCTATTAAATCTTTGTCTGATCATTCGTTTAAGATAGCATTTGTTTTCTTTAAAAATATTTTATGACCTCCCCTAAAATTACCTAAAAAGTAGCATTTTAATTTATAGCTATTTTAGTCTTAATTATTAGGGTAATTAAAAATTAATTATTCTTATATTATTCTGAATACTGATTTGGCATTGAAAGCCATAACTCAAGCAACCAAACTAAAATCCAACACAGTCTTGATCCAGCGTAGTGTTCATAAAAATACATTAATAGCAATGACTCAAACAGGTCGTAGAGAGAAATCTGATAATGATTTTGAGATTTTTTGTCTCAACCACCTTCACACATAATATTAAATTTATTCTACATTCTACATTTCGTTTTTTCGTTTGAATCATTATTACAAATAAGATACTAGCTCTAAAGTTTCTTCCTGGTTCTGAAGTTATTAACTGTTAAGCTATATCATGGTATTTATTTATATTTGGCGTATATGGGACTTCTAACATATCTTTATCGGACTGCCAACCTCTGCATGCCACATGTGCATAAGCACTTGCAGGAAAAGCATTGTCACGGCACAATTTATTAATATTCCTGTAGCTTTGTCACTGTAAGATAGATTCTGGTTTATCATCATTAGCACTAGCTAAATAATTGTATTTTGGAACTTTAGAGGTTTAGCATATAGTTCCCAAATTTTCCTTTATTTCACAAAAGTAAGATGTTGCAATACATGCTGAATCTGGTACTTGTTTATCAGCACAGTAGGTCTGTTTAAAATCAATTTTATATATTACTATGTATTATTAATTAAATGTAATTGATTTACTTTAGTCATTCCAGTATAGAAAAATATTTTGAAAATCAGCTAACTATTTTCACTACTTTCATTCAATAATAATTTAAAATATAATTTGTTCAATATTAGATAAAAATATTCCATTTTCACTCTAAAAGTGTAATAAATGTAATATTGTCATTACAATTTTATACAATATATAAAAGTTGAAATATTGTAGAACATGAAATAACATATAAATTTATATGTGTTATAAGAATATATATATAATCATATTAATTACAATTGACTTAGTTTGAATGTTAAGCTATAAATCTATATTTATAAAACATTGTTTCATTTTGAGTGATTTTAATTTTTAGAATAATATTTTTACCTTCTTTTCTTAAATTTTGTTTGACACTTGCAGCCTATACTTGAGTTATGCAGTCAATGTCCAAAGTTTATTTTTCAACATTGTTAACCTTTCAGAAAAAATATTAAATAAATTTAAAAATAGCGTATTATATTAAAATTAATAACTCGAGCAAATAAAGCTATGGTAATTATAAAATTTGTCTTTCGTATTTTATCAAAGACACGCACATATGAGTGTTCACATTACTCAACAGTAAATTATGTATTAATTAATTAAATTGAAGAGTATTGTAAAAAATAAAAAGATAAGATATTTAAAAATGTTTTGAATGAATTATATTGTTTTTGTGTATTAATGTTTTGAAAAAAACTATTTGCACTTTAATGTAAAGAAATCAAGCTAATCCTATTTTACTTGGTTTTTATTTTTTTTAAAGTTACTTTGTTATATAATTTATTTATATATGATTAGAAAGATATTGCTAGAATATATAGCTAGAATAGCTAAAAAGATATTGCGATTTATTACATTCAAAATAGATAAATATAAATTTAAATGTTAAATTTATAGATTTATAATTCAAACGTTATGTTTCATACTTTAGTCAAGGATTCAAAATATATAAAATATAATAGTAATAATCATTATTTTTACAAATATTTCTCATTCCAATTTAACTAATATTAACTAAACACATCATAAACAGATGATATCATATAAATATCTTTTGAATAAATGAAGTTGTGTCTACATGAAGCTCAAGCGGATGTTGGTTTTTCTAAAGGTAGTTGAGCAGCCTTAGCCATCGCTAAGGGTATGATATTTTGTTCATAGTTTCCTGTAAATAAATGAGCCCATGGTCCTCTAGCAAATACCATTACGTCTTCACCACCATGAGTCTCCGCTTCTAATGGAACAAGACTTGGATAGCGCATGTTATCTTTTTCTAAAAAATAAGTAATATTTTTTCTAATTTACATTAAAATAAAAATTCTAAAATTTTTATTTAAAAAATGTCTGTTCAATTACTTACGTTTTTTTAAAAATTGTAAACATAAAAAGTTTCAAATTTTTATTGAAAATTTTAATTACTTTATTATAATTTAATCATAAGTTACTAAATTCTGAACCATTTTATCAATCAATCATATTTTAGAAAAAACAGAGATAAGAAAATAGATTAAAAAGAAGAAACTACTTTACAATTAAATCACTACTGATTTTTAAAATACTTTTTCTTTTTCTTTTCAAGAATATTTTTATTTTTATTTAAGAGTTTGCTATATATAATAAATTTACCAAAATATTCATCAGTCACATTCATTCTGTGGCAATTGGACATATTCTCGTCCTTAGGACCATTGGCATAGCTCAAAGTTGTGTACGGCATATCATCATTAGCTGTCGAACTAGCTAATCCTAATATATTAGCTCCTCGTTGAGGGTATCCTGCCATAGTCATCGTGTGTGCGTGATCCGAAGTAACTACAATAAGTGTATCATCTTCTTTAGTCATTGCTACTGCTTCTGACACAGCTTTAGACAGTTCAACGGTTTCATCCAAAGCAATTTTTGCGTAAGTTGCATGATGGCTTATGTCGATGAGACCTCCTTCAACAAATAACACATATCCGTTATTTTCCTTTTGGAGTATTTCAATTGCTTTTTTTGTCATTTCTTGCAATGTTGGTTGTTTGATAATATCTGATTGCAGTCTGTAGTCGAAATGACTGTCGTGGAATAATCCTAAAAATATTTTAAAAATTTAATTATCAATCATAAGTACTTATAGCTTACTTCATTACCTAATAAGTAGTCAACGTTTGATATGTCTATCTTTAGAAGATCTTCTCTATTTGTTACGTAAACAGCATTTTCTTCCTTTACCCTAGTCTTTTTATCATTTTTCCATCGCAACACTAAGTCCTCGTCTGAACGTTCATACGTTGTATTTGTTCTTTTCATTAAAAACTTACTACGACCACCTCCCATAATCACCTATTTTTAACACATTTATGAAATAATTGTAAATGGAAATTTCATCGTTTAAAGATTTTTCTAATATTATTTTTAAAGGCTTACTCTAAAATTCTTTCCAGGTTCTCTAGTGATTAACTGCTTTGCAATGTCTTCACACTGGCTAATATTTGTTTTATCCTTAAACTTGAGTATATCCTCATCGGATTCCCAGTCTCTATTCGAAACATGTGCAAAAGCACCAGCTGGGGACGCGTGAGTTATTCTGGTAGTCGTAACTATACCAGTTGCCTTCCTAGCCCACTGAGACCATTGCATGATTGATTCTGGTTTATCGTCGACAATTGACGCTTGGCAGTCATTTTTCTTAACTTTAGAGGTTACACCAATAGTACCAATATTATTTTTAACGCCGCACAGGTATGCTGTCGCCGTACAAGCAGAATCGGGTACTTGTTTATTAACGCAATATGTCTTCGAAATTAATTTAAATATTAAAATTAAAAGCTTTTAATCTTTAAAATTTATTTATATTACCTTTGTTTTGCCCGTAAATGGAAAATTTTCAAAGCTTAAATAATCACTCTCTCCAGTTCTATTATTTATTTGACCATTGTATATTCTTGCAGCAGTAATTGTTGTTAATGACATACCATCTCCCATAAAAATAATGAGATTTTTGGCAGTATTGGTTCGCAAAGCTAACTTCGACACTTTTTCTAAATAGTTTTGTCCACTTTCAAGCCAGTAATTTTTGACTGAATAGAAATAGAATATTAAAATTTAATCAGTTCATAAACTATTTTAATAATATTTAATAAATTACTTGACATGTATAATATTTTCATAAAATAAATAAATAATGTAATAATATTGCAACAAGAAATATTATTAAAAAAAACACCCAACTTTCACTGCATTTTTCAATGGTTAAAAAAATTCTGGATGTCATTATAAACAGTAGATAGTTTATTAAAATGATTAGCATAAATCAAATGTAATTTTTTTAAATAAATTTACCTGATTCCGGGTTAGTTTCGGTCTCAGTTAACGATCCATTAATTTCAAAAATCCTTAAAATACACACTAAAAGGACTAGAATATATGTCTTCATGACACGGGCTATTGAAAACATAATATAACCAAGTGTTCATACAGTAGTTAGAAGTTACGGTAAAAATAAAGTGAGTGAATATAAGAGTTGGATTTTTATTTTAATGTGCCCGATATCACTAATTTTTGGGTCATAAAACTGTGAAATTATTACTGTAAACATGATATAATAAAAAACTTATTACAAAAAAAAATTACAATGTTGTAAGCTTTTATGGTCTATTCATTGATGTTCTGCATATTANTAAGCTTTTATGATCTATTCATTGATGTTTTGCATATTATTAAGTATTAAGATATAAAGAAAGATAAGTTATTTTTGTAAGGAGCCTGTTGTGAACTGACAATACCAAATTATTGAGCGCTTAATTAAAATTTACATGTACAATATTAAGAAACAAAGAAAGTAAACTTCTTGAATATTCAATGCTCGTAAGTATAAGAACATTAAGTCACAACGTTAATAACATAGTGTTAAAATAGAACATTTTAACGAAATTAGCAATCAGTATTTTATATTTATGTGAAACATATTTGTGAAAATTACGCATTTCTTAATTTTATTCTATTCAAATAGACTAAACAATATAAAACATTTCTACTTTTATCATATAAATTAAAAGTATTTCTTTATATTTTATTTACCTTAAATCCATTTAAAATTCAAGTATGTTATATCTAATATTTGCTTACTTTTATTCTAATTAAGCAACAATTAGTTACTAATAGAAGTCAAAAACTATATGTTAATTATCTCATTATAAGTATCATTATTATTATTATTTTATCATTTAAGTTCACTTCTTGTAATTTTTTTACAGATGGCCAAATAATACTTAAAATTCATGCTAACACATTTTTTTTAACTTTAATTAACTCGAATTTTATTGCATCATTAATGTAATTATTAAATTAATGTTCACATTCCATCATAAAAGGTATGTTTATGTTAGGAAGTATATGAAAAGTTACACAGGCTAGTGTAAAAACGAACCTTTGAGTAATAACGCACTTTGGAACGTTTCCTACTGAGCTAAATGGTTTTAAAGTAATAATACTCTTTTAAAATAAGAAAAAAGGGAAAATATTTTATTCTTCTTTAAATAATACCAATACATTTTGGATAGTTTTTATTTACCTATCATCAAGAATAATTCTTGTATTTTATATATTTATATTGTTTCACAACGAATCACCAACAACTTTTTTTAGAAAGCTTTAAATACTTAGTTCATTATATCATAACACGACTGATTACTAATAAAAAATAAAATATATAAGTTTATTTCACAATATATATGATTGAGACAGTTATGGTGTACATTATAAAATTTTAAGAAAAATTCTAAATTTTTCTCTTACTTGAATTCTTAGATTTTTTAACATTAAAACTGTTAGATTTCAAGTCATCATTTTTAATGTATCTTATACAAGTATACATATTCGTAAATTCTTTTTCGTTAATAGAATATTTATACAAATTTAGAGTGGATCACATATTTATAAATAAATAATCAATGCAAAGTTTATTCAACGTTCAAATAACTTAAAATTAAAAAAGTATAAACATTTAGAAAACTTTATCTAATCAATAATACATAAAATTTAAATATTTACGGTCGAAATACATAAGACTATAAAAACATAACGATACTAAAATACAGTATGTATTATTTATCTAAAATAATACGCTATGATCATTGATAAAGATGTTAAAGAATAAAAGTAGGAGTACAAAGTAGTAGAATATCCATCGCTTTTCAATGCTGGATTAGAGTCACCGGAAGGTCCTATACCAGCAGCAAAACCCATTGTTATTGGTATCACATTTTGTTCGTAGTTACCGGAGAATAAATGAGCCCAAGGTCCTTTTGCAAACACCATCACGTCTTCACCGCTGTGGGTTTCATCTTTTAATGGAACAAGATGTGGGTATTGAAAGTTTGGATCAGCTGTAAAATATAATAAAATTAAAGTTACTATTATTAAATTAAAAATGATATTGACATTAATTGGAATTTTTTCAATGAGAAACCACCTCTATATTTAATTTTCAAAATCTAATAATTAACTATTTTAAAATTTAAATCAATATATTTTATGAACATTTAAATGGAATCAAAAATTCAACCTTTTTTATACCATTTGAAATAAAATTTAATCAATGACGCTCTTAAATGAAATTTAATTATTATATAAAGATATAAATGTTATACAGGAAACATGAAATAACATGTTAAATAAGACATCGACACTGCAATGATTTAATTTATACTATCCTTTTGATTATAGCTTTTCATAATAGCTCTCAATAATATCATATCTACATTCCATTATGTAAAATCTATGTCTCCTTTACTTTTGTGTGTATGTGTATTTAACATAACAAGATTTAATAAGGATAATTCGTATACTATGAAACACAAACATTTGCTTGCATGTCCCACACTAATCATCAAACAAGATTTATCTTCATGCTAACATTCTTTAGGGTATACCTTCATAGCTTTAGTCATGTCACGGAATTGGGTAGTTTACGTCGTTGTAATAGAAAATATAGCTTTAATTGATGCCCCTTTTATTTAAGCTGTTTAGGAATANTAGCTTTTATGTAAGCTGTTTAGGAATATGTTATAATCTATAACGTTTACCTAGAGAATTTTAACCATACTTTATATTTACAACTAAAGTTAATATTCAAATTTGAAAAAAATGATTGATTAGAGAAAATTAGTATAAAAGCTTTTTGTAAAAAAAAAAAAAATAGGTAATAACAGAATTGTGTTACTGTTAGTATTTTTCACAAATCTCAGTATTTCTCTTAAAATAATTTTTTTAATTGTCATATTAAAATAAAATTAATTACATAGTTCAGTTTCAGACAAATTTTTTCTTGAGCAGTCCGAAGTGTCTACATTATACTTAGGACCATTAGCATAACTAATTGTTGTGTATGGCCGTTTATCAATTGACGATGTATCTGCAAAACCCAAAATATCGTTACCCCTGTCTGGATATCCAGCCATGGAAACAGTATGAGCATGATCTGAAGTCACTATAATCAATGTGTCTTTCTCTTTGGTTAAATCAACTGCTTGCTGCACAGCTTTAGAAAATTCAACAGTTTCATCTAAGGCTAATCTAGCCTTTGTGGCATGATGAGCCCAATCAATTAATCCACCTTCAACGAACAAAAAAAAACCATTTTTGTTTTTGGATAGTACTTGAATGGCTACTTTAGTCATTTCTGCTAATGTTGGTTGTGTTTGTTTAGCTTGTAAACGAAAGTTAAAGTGCTCCTTCTCAAAGAGACCTGGAAAATTATAATAATTTTTGAATGAGATATAATATACAATGATGAGTTTAAAATTTACTTTTGTAAACTTTACTTCGTAGCCTTACCCAATAAATAATCAGTTTTTGAAGGGTCAATTTTTAACAATTGTTCTCTATCTTCAATGTAATATGCCGAAGAATCACGATTCTTTTTGTCATTCTTCCAGAACTCAACTAAATCCATATCCATTCTAGAACCATTCTTATCACTCTCTTTTAAAAAAAAATTATTTTGTCCTCCGCCTAATATAACCTATAAATTAATTTTTTCAAATCATATTGCCTACTATATTTTGAGTTAATAACTTATTATAAATTTTTTTAACATTACAATTGAAATATTCTAAAAAATATTAAATTTTTATTAACTAGTTTAATAAAAATTAACGTTATCAAACTAATTAATTAAAAATAAATTATTTGATATGTTTACTATAAATTAATTTAAAACACTTTTTTAGTAATAAATATAGTACTAAAAGTTTTTTATAAAAATAATATTAACACAATATACAATAAAGTAAAAACAAGAGAAATAACTAACACAAAACAAAAACTTACTTAAAAAATCTCTGTACATTATAAAATAAGAAAAAAAAAATCAACATTTTAATGTCAATAACTTCTCTGTTTCACATCAAAGTTAAAATGTTTAAATTAGTGGAGGCAGCTGACACTATTTTACTGATGAACACTTAGGTTATCAGTAATTTTTTTATTCATATTTTTTGAAAATATTACAAAAAAAAACTATGTTATTTGAAATTTTTATACAGTGGCTGTTTTTTTCCTTGCTTATGATAGTATTTAATTAGCTGTCAAGAACTTCAAACAGTTTTTTTATATTTTCAATCATTAAAAATTTAATAAAAGAGATTACATTTTTAAGATCATACTATAATTAAAATCGGGTATTCATTCTTTTTAGTTTTGTTGTACCCCAAAAGTTAACTCTTTCTAGAAATATACATGTGTAGGTGGTAAAAAATTAATATGTTCAAAATTTTATTTAAAAAAAATATACTAAGAATTACGTTTGTGGGAAAATGTTGTTTTTTAATAATTTTGAAGTTATAGCATAAAGTTCATTTTTTAATAAAGTTTTTTTTTCCAATAAAAATTAATTCAGAATACTACAATAAAAATATTCAGATTAATTTTAGTAACTCACATTAATATTTTTGCCGGGTTCACGAGTAATGAGTTGTTTTGCGATATCTTCACATTTTGTAATATCTGTCAAATTTATTGCTGCCTCTAGATCAGCGTCCGATTCCCAATTACGATGTGCTGAATGTGCATAAGTACCAGAAGGCGATGCATGTGTAACTCGAGTAGTAGTCACAATACCCGTAGATTTCCCGGCGTCTTGAGCCCATTTCAATATAGAACTAGATCTATTGTCTGGGTCTACTGATGCTGGACAATCTGAAATCTTAGCTGCCGCAGATAAACCAACTGTCTCAAAGTTGCCTTTTACCCCTGTTAAGTAGGCAGTTGCAGTGCAAGCAGAATCAGCAACTTGTTTGTCAACACAGTAAGTCTAATAAAATAAAATAAAATAAAAATTTCACTTTAAAAACTTTCTAAAAATTAAAAATAACAATTCTGGTCAACAAAACATTAAAATTATCTTGTTGAACTATGTATTGTAAGTATAGTGTAATTCGCAATGACTCTGTAACACATTTTACTTGACTTTGTTTTTATTATAATGATTTAGCAGAGAATACAAATAAACACTTACTATGAATAATTTAATGAAAAAAAAAAAAGCTTTTTTACGGAGCTCAAATTACAACCCAACCGGCGTTAAATATTCATTAAGGATCGTAATAAAATCCCTCCATCTATACACTACAAGTTCATGGTTTAGACAGCTGTCACCCCTTTGCTCGCAAGCACTAAAGTATGCATTATGTCACCACAATCGGTGACTATTTATTTTTCTTAAATGTCCTTTAATTAACACCAAACCGTACCCAAATCACTGTTAATAATAGATTATCATAACACCTAACCAAGCTCACAATAAGAAATAATTACTACAAACAAAATAGTATTATATATGTCAATATGACCCTCTGCTGTCTTTCACAAACAAAAAAACAAAACATCTTTATTCATTGGTTACTAGTTATTAATAAATAAAAAAATGATACGTATAATTTACTAAAAATTGCTAAATTTTATTGTCAATGTTAAATTTGTTTTCAAAACATTAAGCATTATTCAACTGAATCGAGAAAAAATCCATTAAGGATTTTATTACGTATTGTATTTATTTTTATGACTAGTACTAAGAGCAATTGAAATAATATTAAACATTTCGACTAAATGGTAAAAACAAAGCATTTGCCATCTACATAAAAGTTCGTAACATTTAATGTGCATAACTTAAGAACCTTCCAGGGGATTATAGAAATATATAGTAAAAACTAAAATCATAAGTTTTATCCAACAGTCTCAGATCACGTGCAACTATCAGGGAAAGTTTTTTACGGCAATTTTTGTGCGACGAATGAAAATACTGAGGAGCAACTGTTAAGAGGTTATTCAGAGATGATTTATCTTTGTAAAACGGCCGCTATGATGTTGTGATGACGTCTTTATTTATAAAGTTGTAAATAATTTGATTTTCTCTCTCTTCTATAAGGCTCGTGAAAAGTGTTGCCCCTTTAAATACGACTGTTACATTAAATTGAAGAGCCGTTTGCATTCCACTCGTGTATACATTGTATTGACCCTTGTCATTACCTCTACCTGTAAGACTAAATAATAATAATAATAATTGCCATGGACATTTTTTGTTGACTTAGTATTTGTTATTATTTCATTGTACATAACGCTAGTATTCCCAGTTACAGCCCAAGACGAGAGTCCTTAATTAATTATTTTATACTCTTTAAACGATGTTAATAAGTCCAAGTAATAAAATGCTTGACTTTATATTAACTACATTAATATACTGACGGAGTTAACGTTAAGTAAAGTTTTTAAACAAATAACTAGCACCTATAATTGACTAATTATTCTACTCTTAATGATAGTATTCACTGGTAATGAAATTCCGCAATATATATAAATGTAATAATATAATTAAATAAAGGAAAAAACACATTAAAGTGTCTTTTTAACATGGTGGTGATAGTTTTATGAACATTAAAATGTCCATATTTTAAAATATACACTTGTCACTCCTTGAAACTTTCAGGCTGTATTCAATTATTATTGTGAAACTTGTAAAGTATTATTGTTTCTTATACAAAAAAATTTGACCAATGTTGCTACATTAAACACTTAAAATATTTAACATAAGTACAGACTAGAGTTACTCGAAAAAACCTTGAATATAATGTGCTGAATATATTTATGAAACTTTAACGTTTTTATTAAAATTTGTTCGCGTTCGCCAGTAGAATACTCCGTATTAGATAGAACTAAACCTATAGCAAGACAGACAGATAAAAGTGTTTTTTAGGAACGTTTCGTATCGTTATATTTTACGACAATTGTTTTATCCCATTTTATATTTTCCAATAGTGGTATGGGTATTTTTTCTATAACATTCAAAAATTGAAAAAGTACAATAAATTTAGCAAAATAATCCAACTTATTAGTATTTTCGAATAACACATTAGTTGAATAATACCTTGGTAGATTTTTAAATGTTTAACAAGTCTGACATAATCATAAATCATGACTGGATATGACAATTGAATAATTTCTACCAATGCAGCTAAGCAATTTTATTGTAATAAAATCTTCATCAAATTTGAATTATCACCTTTAAATCGTCCGTTAGCTTAAATAAGCCAAGGAATATTGCAATAGTATGGAATATGTTTGAACTTGAGAACTTTAAAATCGAAAGTTTATTTATGTATACATGAAATTATGTTTACTCACCTTAGACATGCCTACGAAAGGAAATTTTTCAAAACTTAAGAACTCGTTTTCACCGGCCTTTTTTTCCAATTGTCCCTGATAGATCCGAGCAGCCGTCAACGTAGTCAACGACATACCATCGCCCAAGAACATGATTATATTTTTAGCAACATTTTGGTTATTGACATAGTTAAGTTTTTGTGCTACTGTCTTTTTAGCATTTTCTATCCAAAACTGCAAATCTGCAAATATGATCGAAATTGAATTTTTTTTTGTAAAAATTATAAGTGTTTTTTTTCAAATTATCAATGGCGACAATAAATTTAAAATACTAAGAGTCATATTTATAGTAAATTCTCATTAATAATTTGTACATTGAATATCTAAATAAAATGAATACCTTAAGTAAATATTATTCATAATAATCAACCATGAGTATCATAATCAATGTATGTTATAAAAAAATTCTTTTATTGTTATAAGTATATATTCTGAAATAATACTTGATAAATATTTCAATATACAGTTGTAAGTTGTTATCGTTTCGATACAAACTTGTATTTTTTTAACTTAAAACAACACTTTAATAAATGGTATTTTTCGAAAAACTCAGATAGTTTTTTTCTGGTTTTTGGCAAAAATTTATTTTACGCTAAGGAGAAAATGTGTAGGCTCGTATTTTTGGAAAATTTCAAAATTATATCAAAAAATTAAATAATTGAAAATTCACATAAAATTGATAAAAAAAAATTTAAGTAAACGAAAAAATACCTTAGAATATACTATTTAAAACTTAAAATTTCAATGTAAATTTAAGTGATGTTTAAAGAGCGTATGATGATAGAATACGATGATGAAACATTAACGTTCATAATTTTATTATTATATTTTTATTTATGATGCTATAAAAACCGAGAAAAAAATATTCATATTTTATTGATAATTAAAGCAAAATAATCTCTTTAGTTTGTTATAATAATAAAATAGATAATGATGATTATTATATCAAACTATAGTTAAAACTACAATGTTATGGGGGTCATTAAAAACTAATAGTAGTAAAAATATTTTAAATATTCTTAAAACCAAATTCTAGTAAATATTTTAAACTATAAACATATAATATTTAAATACAAATGACGACAAAAACTAATTAACATTGAAAATAACAAAAAATTAACAATTTTTCACCACGATGTTTTAGTAAGCTATTTTGTTTAAAACTAAAAATAAATTAATAATTTAAAGTGTTTAAAATAAATTTGAATGACAGCGTAAAATTAAAACCTTGAGCATCACCTTACAATGAATAATTAAAACTTTATTTTTTAAGAATATCACTGAATTGATACTGTTTCATTTATTTATCTTTCATTAAAATATTTTTGATGAGCTCACTTTGAATTCAGTTTTAATTTAATATTGTTTTTACTTTCCATGTATATATTGATTAAATAGAATAAAATATTATTAATTATAAAGTTAAATAAATTTGATTTTTCAATTTTAAAATAAAACAAATAAATCTACAAAGTTTGTTATATATCACGAAAAATCTTATTTACTTATAGAATTATTTTAATTATAATTTATATAATATGTAAATGTTATATATATATATATATATATATAAGTATTTTTTAATACTCTTAACCATTGATTGTATAATATTAAATTTTTATGAAAAAAGATACACTTGGTAGTAATATATTTTATTTAGTAAAGTTAAATTAATTTTTAAATAATAAAATAATTTGCTACCTTGTTCTGTATGATCTTTGTGAGAATGAACTGCATGACCTATAAAAAAAATATTTTATATTAAAATAAAATTATATCATATATGAAGTATACGGATTGTAAATTATCTGTTATTGTTTTTATCTTAGGTCATAATAAAGGTGGGAAAAGTACCAGATATTTTTTAAGCAAAAACCAAAGGTTCAAATGACTTTCGTGGTTTAAAAGTTTTTCGGCTAGCCGTTCATCATCATTTAAAGTTTTTATTTTGTATCTGTTTAGCCTCCTTTTTTCACAGTTAATATACCATAAAGGTTAAAAATTAAGCAAAGAAAAAATCTCTACCAACTTGAGTACGATTTATTGCTCAACATTTAGAAAACGCATTTTCTCTGACTTTAACACACTTCCTTAGGTTTTTGGTTTTATTTTACTTAATCTGTTCAAATTACTTTGTTATTATACTAAAACCAAAAGTAGGAAAGTCGTTCATTTCAATTTGGAAAATTATTCTAATGAGCAAGAAAACAGTAATATTATTTTTACTTAGACACATTTCACAAAAAAATAACATTTAAACTGGGGTAAGAGTCCAAAATTGAAATAATTAATTACATTTTGTAGTTATAAACCGATGGTTGATAAATATCAAATCTTGGACCATTTTTAAATATTTTTTAGTAGTTAGTAAATCATCGACCTAAAAATGAACATTTATATAGATTATACACAATTGTCATACTGTAAGTTAAATTTCACTCTTTAAAAATATTATTCTATGTTTATGAAATTATTTTATAAGACTTAAATTTTTTTGTTTTTGATGGTTATAGATTATTTTAATAAATATTTGGTAATCACATAGTTTTATTTTGCACAAAATTTTTGTTATGGAATTCAAAGAAAGTATTTAGGGTAAAAGTTCATTGTAGCTTTAAAATAACTCACATTAAGTTATACTTATTTAGAAATAAATGAGATTTATACATTATTTTATTGAATTTGAATAATTGATTTAATATTTTTTTCTTTATATGATAAATAATTATATCGGGCATTTATTTCAGTCTTTAAAATACAAATTGTTAATATGCTGTTTAATTTTTAAGAATAAAAATAACGTCACAATTTTAATCTTCATTACTTTATTATTTTATATTAGATTATTAAATTTATAAATTTACATTTAACATCATGTGCCTTTGAGGGAAAGGTTACCAACATCATCAATGCGATGTTCAAAAATGTGCTAAACGTGTGCAATATGAGAAAAATACTTAATTGCTGTTCAAATGGTCAAATCCTTAATGACCAAAGGCAACGTGACATTTCCAATGATAAATGTGTTCGCGTGCGGTGGACCAATACACTGACCGCAACAACAATATAATCGTGTCTCTTATGTAAATATCCATGTCGTCGTGTCCCCTTGATTGTTTATGACTCGTACCCCTATTGTAACCCCACACTACTATATCTCATATACATATAAACTTACACTTAGTGACAAAAACAAATAATTAATTTTACCCAGACGATCTCATTAACGAATAATCATGAGACATTTTGTAGTTTAATTTGACTCGTCACAGAAGTTTAATATTTTAATCAATAAAACATTGTCATTTATTTTTACATTTCTAAACAAAACTGCATTACGGAAGGTCTAATATTAGTAGACTTGTAGCAAAATTACATCGTAATTAATCGGTTAGTCTTGAAAAATTAATATCGTTAACAATTATCCGTTATTAATGTATTTTTAACAATCGATGAAATGCTTTCTTATAAATAAGGTTCATTTCTACATTTCTGCTCGCGCCAGTATAACCTTTAATTATCCCAAATTGTTTAATATTACATAAAGATAAAATAAGTGACATGACTAGAATATTTGTATTTTTCTTATATGCGTATCACTTAAATGAAAACATTAAATTTTGAGTTAGAATGGCCATAAAATTAGTTGGAATATTTACCTCTTAAGGCTGACTTGTGTCACCATTTTTCGCACATTTATAATATCTAACGAATGCTTTTAGTGTGTATAACAATATAATTTGTGGGTTGGAATAACAGTAACTGACCACCTGTTTATATTCACAATGATAGTCGATTAAATAATAGTTAAACTAGTTCATTATTACGACCTTATTTACATTAAGATTATATAGTTTAATCATTTCTGATAAATAATGCTATCATCACATTAACTTAAATAATTATGCCTTATTTGATGGCACATTACAGTTCTATAAGAAAATATTTTCATCCATTGCTGAATTATAATTTATAATGTATCCCAACTTCATACCATTATTGTATTAAATTATGAAAAATGAAATAATACTCCACTTTTAAGAATAATTAGTAACAAGCATAATGTACTGTATCATTCATAAATTGAAAAAAATGAGAAATGTTTGTAAAGAAGAATGTATAAAAACTTTCGTCGGTTCTACTTTCACAGAATAAATTATAATTAAAGAAAAAAATTATACATTTTTACAAAACACGACAACGAAGTTGATTCTATAAAAAATAAGTTTCATTTTTAATTAATCGAACAAGCGCAAAGTTTTATTCTTAGTGGTTATTATCAATATTTTCTCTTGTTATAAATTTTACAGAGTAAGATTATTTTCGGTTGATATATTGAAATATTGATNTTATAAATTTTACAGAGTAAGATTATTTTCGGTTGATATATTGAAATATTGATTAGTATAGCTTCCCGATAGCTTTTGTTACTATAAAAATAACTAATGAAATATAAATCAGTTGAAATAAGTAAAGTTATCCGAACAAAAAACATACGGTTCTAATATCAACGTAAGTTATTGTGATTATTATTTTTTAATTTAATTTTAATATGTGTTATTTTGTTATAATTATATCTTATTATTTTTACATTATAGTAGATCACTATTTGAAAAAATAGTAAAATTATAATTTATTTATTAACGCCTTATCATCGCAAACATATATTACACTCTGTTAATTTATTTTATCGGATAGAAATTTTATTTTCAAACATAATGTTCATTTAAAAAATAGAAACATTTATATCTCAAAGATCAAGTGAAGGCTAAAGCATGACGTGGAATAATGTCTTTGATTGATTAATCAACAATTGAACAGTTAGAATTCAAGATTTAGGTTGTGCGTGGGCAGCAGCGATTATTTCAGTATTTTTAACAGGTATATAATAAATTTAAGAATTTTTCATACAATGAAAATATGTAAAATTTCTTAAACAACGTTAATATTTTTATTGAAAATGAATGAAACGTTAATTGCAATCTTCAAAGAGGACAATTGAATAATTAGTTGATGATTTTCGTCGGAAAATATGTAATTTTACACTGAATCATGTCTATCTCAGAATGAATTTTTTCACTCAGAAGAACGCTCCCGGCCACATAGCGTTTTTGGTGATATAACCTATATATAATGTGGTTGTACAACGCACGGCGGAGAAAATAACACATGTATCTATATATTAATATTTTTTTCTTATAAAGTTATCAGCCATCATGTGATTTCCCTCGGGTACGTTGTTTACGATCGTATTTTTCGTTTTTAGCCAAAATCAACGATATTCAAAGGGAACGCTAATTTTGTTATTATATATCCCGGCTTTGGTATCGCTCAAAGCCCGAAACTTACAAAAATGTTTTTAAAAAATTTATTGAAAAACAGTTATTGTTCGTACATAAACGTATACTTAGTCAACACCAAGCGTGTCCATTACAAAAGTTGATAACGCGATTTACTCCTGTGACACATGAGTTGATTTCGTTATGAAAAGAAAAACGATTCTCCGTAAACTCAACAATGACGACAATTGTACAAATTTTAAAACGCTTGTTTTTAGTGAGGGCATAAAAAAGTTTCGAATAATGATTTTGACAAAGAATAAAAATTTTATCACAAATAAACGAGCTATAGTCGAAAGTCGTCACCCGTTTGTTTTATTAGAACAACAATAAGCCGACTTATATTTAAAAAGTAGCACACAAAAAGCTTGAAAGTACCTAAGTAAGTATTTGTTATAGTTTATTTTTGTTCATTTTCGTCCACAGTAATTTACCAACTCATCGTTATTCAAATAAAACAAAATCTAACCGTCGCAATAAAAACATTAAATTATATCTATTGTGAATTATTAATGAGAACCTGTACAACACATTATGTCATTGTTTGTACAATTCATTAGTATTTTCCCATAAATACAATTATCTAGAAATGAAAATAATTACTAAATAATTGTATTTATCCGGTATTTGGCTTAACAACCTTGTACCTTATGTTAAATTTTACTAAAAACCTACGCGTGGCTCCGTGTACATTAAATTTAAACAAAACCAAACTTATCAATAACAGTTTTTTAACGTCTTACCGTTGGCTGTCGTTGCAAGTGACCAGCAGCAAGCTGCTAGCACAATCCATGCCAACACCGTCGTTGATGAAGCAAACCGACAACCGGTGGAATTCATGGCGAAACGACGGCGAGATCGAGTACCGGACCACTGACCGTGTAATATTCAAACAAAATACACTACACGCCAATCCCCCTCCCTATCCCTTGGCCAATTCGTACCTCTCCACAAATTCATGGACTTATAATAACCGGTTCTGTTGGTTGCTAATAAAATGTTCTGCACCTATAGTTTTATCTCTCCTGTACATAAAAAAATTAATAAATCCTACATTATGGTCGTTTTATATACCCTTATGGTCCAATTATGACTGGGTAAACTACAAAAAAAAAATTTCTTCATATTATTTCATCTTCAAACGAAACATTGAAATAATTTAATATAATTTGGGTTGAAAAAAAATTAAGTTAAAATTCAATAATATGTATATTATTAAATTATTACTTAAATTTTTTATTCTTATATAACTTGAATAAGTTCTCAAATCATTGATTGCCTATTAACCAATTAAAACCGAAACGTTTTAAAATTCACAATCGTTAATTGTATTGTAGGTACACTCATTATTTTAAAAATAAAATCTAAGATGTTTACAAATTTAGTAATGGATAATTATACTAATAGTTATACAAAAACTGTCAATATGTTTAACTCGACGTTGTACGTTGAGCGGACTATTACACCTGATAAATGAAATCATACTTGTGCAGTTATTATCAAACATAAAAAATTAAAGAAAATATAAATTTTTATGTACTTTTATTTGTATCGGTCATGGTCATAATGCCATGGTATAAAGATTTGTTTATTGTATTTTTTTTTTCAGTTATCATAGTAATTAAGTTGTGGTTACTAATAATGAAATGCTAAAAACAAACATTTAAACTAAATAAATGATCGCCTTATTCAACGTTAATCAAAAAGATATAAATTGTATTTATTAACTTTAAAATATTTTCTCATACAGTAGAAAATATAAGCCAACATCCTTTAAGTAGTACACTAGTTTATCTGTACTGTTAAGATCGATATACTGAAGAGAGAATGTACTACCATAATTTATACTCTGCGCAACTTACTCACTAATTCAAAATAACAGCCATAGTTATCGTTTGGCGTTATTATTAATTATTATTGTGCATTGTCGCAATACAAACGCCAGAGTACGATTTCCTGAGAAACGCATTTTGTATGCATTAAGGACAAGAAACGTTTCACGGTGCAGATATTATACCGATCACTCTCTTTGATGACGTATAGAGTGCTCTTAGCATAGATGAGCTGTTATACCATAAAGCCATTTTCTCACAGCTTCAATGATGAGTAAAGGGTTCTTGAGGTCATTTAATTAATCCTAAACAAATCATAATGGGGTAAATTTCACTATGGATAAACCTAATTACTAGAAAACGGTTTAAAACTTGTCTATACTTAATCAGAATATTTATTAATTTGAAAAAACCAATAACCAATAGCGTAATTAAGCTAATGGTAAATAGTCAAGAACTTTAAATTCCTGAATAAATAACACATAAATGTACATTATAGTGTTCGTATAATTTCATGTTTAATTAACGCACTAATAAACAAATTTTTGAATTTTAAATTTTAAAACTCAACTTAATGCCGTTTTCGAAAATTCTTTATTTTAATCTTATTATTTTATATGAAATGCATTTTTCCGTGAATTACATTGGAAAACGCGGAGCATAAGAAGTTGAAGACAACCGGAAAGCTGATGAACTTGAACTAGTGTCCACTGTGTGAAATCAAATTTCCCGTGCGGAGGTTATTAGTCGGCATTTAGTGGAATTACGAAAGGATCCCGTTCGACAGGATAGCAAACACAACGGTTGGCTTAACCGAAGACTTACACCACCGGATGTTTTCATAGCTAATAATTTACTAACTGTTACCTATAAAACGCCGTCGATAAGCTTGTGGTAGTTTCATTTAGATACGTCAAACAACTTTTACACTTCAATAACTCATACAGAAAATACGAGTATAACAGTTTTGTATTTCTAGTAAAATATTGGTTTTCAAACTCCCTAACACTATTTTCTGTACAAATATTTTAATCTAACCAAATTATTATAAAAGTACAATTTTTTTCATCTTTAAGATTAGAATAAATTAAAAATAACCACAATATAACAATAATAGTAAGATCATGTATTCAATTTTAAAAAATTTAATTTTTATAAATATTCACTGTTAATAAATAGTCTTTAAAGCTATTCCAACAAAAATTTATTTATTTAGCGGTTAAAAAAATAAAAACAATCGATAAAAGAAAGAAATATATTTTTAGAGTATTTCTGAAAATAATATTTAGTATTAACACAGTTATACCTCTCCGTTTTATATTTTTAATAAATAATTAATAATTTGTTACTTATAATGCAAACAAATTTGAAATAATAATTTATTAACTTGTATCAAAATAAAAAATTCCTTGTAATGAAAATATGAAGTAACTACTATAAATAAAGAAAATCATTTAAAATTTATCACTCAATAAACTTTGTTTTAATCAAATAAATCTTTGTCACTTTTTCAAACGATTTTAAACACTGATATCGAAATTCTATATAATTATGATCAAGAAAACGACCTTCGGGGTTTTAATGAGTTTTGAAGCTGAGGGCAGAAAATATTTAGGGACTAAAATACTAAGATGACAAAGTTCCCAATATTAAGCGGAAGACCTGAATAATGCAAACATCGGTTTAATTAACGATAAGCTTAGCAATTGTGTCATTGATAGAAATCAAACAATTGAAGGAGAACAACAGAGGAAAGAGTACTTGTATTTATTTACGTATCTGATTCAGTCGCAAAATTTAATGTTTGTCATTATTTTTTGTATTAACATTTTTAGTTTGTAGGTCTGTGAATTTCGTTTAGTAATATTTGAATTGAATATATTTTTGTGTCATTAAATAATTGATGTACCGAATTTTTCAAAAATGAATAATAACTGTACATGTATTAACCGTTTCATGTAAATTTTTATCCTAATATTTAAATTTATCTGAATGTATTATGTCTATGTTGCTTACATTGTGTGAAAAAGTGATTGCAAGTATCTTATAAAAATCGTCGTTTACTTACACTCGTAAATAGTTATTTTATTATACACATGATGTTAAACTGCAGAAAATTATAGCTGTTTATCCATTTTATCACTTAAGCCATGTTCGTGCATAAGTGCTGATTCCCCTTTTTGTATTAATACATTATGGCATTTTGCTTATCGGTTACTTAGGCGTTAAGTGAATTTTTTATGTTTATACAAACAAATACCATTGTGTATTGCTGTCTGAAACCACTAAATATTTTTGATATTTAATTGTATTAAACTAGTGTGATATTGTACACCTAATTGTAGATTAACAACAGTTTAAAAACATTTAATTTTGTAATAATATAAGAGTTGTAATATACTACCAGTGTAATTTTATGTACAGTACACAGGAACATTGAGAATTGCAGTACAATTTGTTAATCATACATCTTACTTTCACCTGTAAATTGCATATTTAAAACTCAATAAGAATTTCAAAAGTATTTTATATTTTAAATATATATATATATATATATACGAGTGCTAAGAATAACACCTGTACTTAAAAAGTAAAAAAAAAAAGTCAATTGTTATAAATAATGAGAACAATAGACATCTGCTTACTTATTTACTGAAAATCAGTGGTGTAGTCCTAAAAATGTTTATGGGTATACGCCTATATAATAAATAGAGAATAACGTGGGGGGCTCCGCCCCCCACACCCCCCATTGCACTTTACATTTTTTACATACAATATTTCACATTATCAACAGTGATATAGTCGTAATTTGATCAATAGATAAGTTAAAAACCTAAATGAGGAAACGTGGGGAATTTCACCCCCACACTACATTTCAAAGGCCTTAACTATAACATAGTTTTGGGGGACGGAATACAAATATTGTGATATTTTAACTGTGTTAAAAATATGTATTTTCTAATTATTACATAATGCAACTAAAACTCCTAACCCTCCCAGTTGCTCCTTCCAACTTCCAAACTATTACTCGAATATTTTTACTGACACTTTTAAGTTCTTACATAAATTAAATTTCATAGTCATACAATCGATAAGTGTATTATTAGATACTGTTATATTTTTTATAAATAAACAATAAACTTTATGCAGTAATAAAATAATCTTACAATCATTGTTTTCAAATCGTTAAAACATAAATGAAATAAACGTGAATAGGTACATGTTAGTACTATCTTAATTCATTATAGGTAATATATTAAATACTAGATTGGTTGGTAAACGGTTTATTACGGAAAAATACAAATTACCAATTTCAACAGCTATAGGTTAACCCAATAACTTTCAGTTTCAACTTAGTATGTGCTATATCGTTAATTTCTGGTCGATGTTTTAAATTTTGTCAAATGTCAATAAAATTGTCGTGAAATGATAAACATTATCCTATTTATTTTATTGATATTTATTTATACACTTTGACAGTGTTTTGTTTTACATTTATATTCTATTTTTAAAATGATAATAGTCTCGAGCCATATTTGTGTGTTTATAACTTCAGATATATGTTTATATGTGGTATGACTGTAGAGATTAAACAAACTGATAAGAATTATTCAAAATTTGTGTTTTATGACAAACGTACCTATATTCGATACCCACATATTACTTTTTATTTTATTCTTTAGTCTATACTCTTTAACTATTTTATAAATACGTATATGCACTAATAAGAAAACTAACACTGGGTATACGCCGTATACCCGCGTATCACTCATGATTTTATAAGTATACGCAATAACAGAAAAACAAAGAAGTGGGTATACGCCGTATACCCGCGTATACGCTCCACGACACCTCTGCTGAAAATTATATATAATATATATATATATATTTTTTTTATCAACACCGAATATAATTTTGAGCTTTGAAAATAATAAAAGTGACAAGGGAACGTTTCTTCATACTAAATTGTCCTCAACACTGATTTTTATTGCCTAAAATAGGAATATAATAAATTTTATAACCCTTTAACATATTTAAATTTAATATTTAAAAAAAAATAATAGA